CTCTGCTGTCTTCCTTGCCTCCTCCTCATGGTTCCCATGTGACTGTGGGACACCAAGGTATTTATAGCTGGTCTCTGTGTCTGCTATGTGGCCCACTGGTAGTTCCACTCCATCGGTCTTCACTATCTTCCCTCTCTTTACTATCATCCTGCTACTCTTCTCCAGCCCGAATGACATCCCAATGTAGTTGCTGTAGATCTGTGTCAGGTGGATCAGTGAGTTGATGTCTCGTTCACCCTTAGCATACAGCTTGATGTCATCCATGTAGAGGAGGTGGCTGATGGTGATTCCACTCTTGAACTTGTACCCATATCCAGACCTTGTGATTATCTGGCTGAGGGGGTTCAAGCCTATGCAGAACATCAGTGGGGATAGTGCATCACCTTGGTATATGCTGCACTTGATGGCCACTTGTGTGAGGTGTCTTGAGTTCACTTCCAGTGTTGTCTTCCACAGTCCCATTGAGTTCTTGAGGAAGGTCCTTAGTGTCCTGTTGACTTTATATACCGCCAGGCATTCACAGATCCATGTGTGCAGCATTGAGTCATAGGCTTTCCTTTAGTCAATCCAGGCTGTGCTCAGATTGGTTTTCCTGGACCTTGAGCCTCGGGCGACTGCTCTATCTATGGTGTTTTGAGCCTCTGGTGTTGTTCCCAATGCCCTTCTGAGCTGTGCTCATGAACTGACCCATATGGTCTTATAGCTTGGTGAGTAGGATGCCTGATAGAACTTTCCATGTTGTGGGGAGGCAGGTTATTGGCCGGTAGTTGGATGGTGCTGTTTCTTTGTGAGGGTCTTTCATGATCAGCACTGTCCTTCCTTGTGTTAGCCAGTCTGGGTGGGAGCCTGCTGCTAGCAGTTGGTTCAGTGCAGCCACTTTGCACTGTGTTGCCACTTTGCAAGGTGTTATGCGTCTTCTCTTTCTCCAATATGTTCTTCCAGTACTGTTCAGTTTCCGGTGCTGGTGACTCACCTGTTACTCTGTGGTTGCACTGCAGTTGGGAGTACACTTTGGATGGGTCTTTGGAGAA